CAAACCTATATATATATATATATATATATACATTCAACCTTTTATAAATTAAAAGCTTTAAATTACGTTATTTTTTAACTATACGCAGACATGAAAATTTTAAGTATGAGGATCATTGTTGTTTGAAAAAACTGTTTTGAGAAAACGAAATTTCAAATTTATGAAAAGCTAATTTAATCAATATACTGTTACAATGTTAAATAACCTGAACGTTTCTCATATGTATCAATCTATACTTTTTTTAAAAAAAAATGACTCGAATTCAAATAATAAATGAAATTTATGACAATTTTGCTGTAAATCTTGTTCATAATATTGTGTAAAGTTATAGTACAGAAAAAACTTTGCAATCAAATTTTTTGTTAAAAAGTTGCAAAATAGGCTTTTAAATATTACTAGGGGGCTCCGCCCCCTGGTCGCTACGCTCGCCAACCCCCAGAACTGCTTCGCAGTTCCATTGCATATTGCTTCGCAATCTTTAAAAACATTTTAACAAATTTAAATTTTAAAATAAAAATGCCAGATATTGAAATCAATTACTTAATGAAATTTATACACTTCTCTGCCCCCTTCACAATTTGATTATCTTTTCTTCATGTAGCTGAGAAATTTGGAGCTGTAGCAGAGAATATATCTCAATAAGAAATGCTTTCCCGTTTAGAATTCCGCCATTCATTTCTCTGACGTCTGCCAGAGATATTTCGACGCCTGATAGCAGGCATTTTATTTAGGCAGCAGGCACTAAATAAATAAAAATAGAACTAAATAACTAAGATATCGTTTTAAATCTCAAATCAAAATAATTGTTTGTAGAAAGTTTGTTTTGGTTTGAATATTCGCACGTTTGTTTTGGTTTGAATATTCGCACGATGCCATTGCCATTCTATTGTAACGAAACAAAAAATTTATCATGAAACTAAAAATTTATCAAAGGAACTAAAGATATTGAATTCTTTTTTTAAGAAATTCAGTTCCGTTTTTTTTTTTCCACTCTTATTTTTGTTTATCAATCTATTAATTCAGAAATGCTTTAAATCAAACGATGCTTACGGAAACAATGCTTATGCGAACCACCCGAAAAATGATTTGCTGAATTCTCATTGGTTGAAACTAAATTATTAATTTTATTAATTAATTAAAGGAAATTTTCATAATTTAAGACCTTATTGCACATCTACATAACAATACCTTTAAAACGACACCTTATTTGTTTAATTCTGTTGCGTAGTTTGGGAGTTTTTAGCGAGACAAAATATTGCTAGCCTATTAATATATAGATTCAATTTATAGATTATTAATATGTGATAATATTGTAGCAATTCAAAAAGTATTTTGCGGGGCCTTATTTCTTTTAAAAAAATTTTAATACAAAAAAGCGCAAAATTTTTTGAAAAAAATTCAAAAATTCGATAGTTTTGAGAATGTAATAATATATTTTAACATCAGATAATAATTATAAATCAGTAGATAATAAAAGCAATAATGAGTGAAAAAAAATGTCTTGCTTTGTTTTCTGATCTACAACGATGGTTGTAACTCGAACTATGAAAAAAAAAAGATTGTTTCGCTCCAGTTACTGTTTAAGTTTGTAAAAATAAACATTTTCTAAAAATATAATATTAATTTATAAATTTCTAACTTCACATATTAAAGTACAGTAAAAGATACCAGCATTCAATTTAGTGTTCTTTAACATGAACGATGTATTCAACAGTTCTTCTAAAAGAAGTATTACCAAATCAAATGATTTAAATCTTTGTAATCACACTGATATGGCAAGTTTTGTGGATTTAATAACTAAATATAAACCTAGTTTCAAAAATGTGTTTTTAAGACTCCGGGACCAATTTGTGGAAATAATTTTTAATATAAAGAATCGAAGTGATAACAACCATTCGGCACGTTTTTTTTTCTTCACAAATACAAAATAGTAGGCCGGGACAATCAGGTTGGTAGGGCACTGGGCTCATGTCCAAGAGGTCGTGATCTCGATCCCCGCCGGCCGAAGACTACCCGTAAATGGTGACTGATGCACGTTAAAATTGTCGAGTCTCAAAGTCCTCCATGTTCCCATAACAAATCATACCTCTGGGGGTACTGATCCAAGAGTTTCCTTGTCTTCAGGAAAATTCAAAATTACAAGGCTACTGTGTTGAACATTAGTAGTCGTAAACCCAAGAATTGGGTCGGCTGCTCAACGACGGTTGAAAAATATAGTATAAAATACAAAATAACTCTCACTGCGTTTTGAAAAATTGGGATATTTTTTTGCCATATCTTACAACAGTACGGTTAAAATGAGTAGTCCAATCGGATAATTAGTCACGTATGTTACAACTGATAAGAAAATCCATACTTTTAAAACAATATGCAATTATTGTACTTTAAATTTTGCTTACATTTATACTGTACAGCGATACATTTTTTACAAACCTAAATAAAATCGAAATTACCCCGTTCTCTTCGAAATGGACTTAAATTTCGTTTATAGCGTTAGCACACGGTTTAACATCCAATAAAAAAAAACTACTTTTCTTTTAAAGTCATTTTTGTGCTTGGTTTTGTAACTGTATTAATTCTGTTTTCTACTCTTTTATGCAGGCTCTACTGGTGGCTTCCAGCCCTGCCATTTTCCCTCCTCATCTTCGTGTACGACGAAGCTCGTCGCTTCATTCTGAGGCGTAATCCAGGAGGCTGGGTGGAGAGAGAGACTTATTATTAAAAATACAAAATAATATAAAACAGGCCCCCCGTCAACCCCTTCGGGGGACAAGAACCAACTTAATAAATACACGGCGGCCGGCCTTTCTTTGTTAATGCGTGGGGTCAGCCATCGCGTTGTGTGAGTGAGATATCTTCCGCTCTTCATCTTCTTGGAACACTTTGGGAGTAGGAGGAGACCTTAACCACACTCAAAAATAGCTCGTACGTAGTCTGGTGCTTCAAGGCCACTGGATGGCTGCCACTTAATAAAAAGGAAAAAATAGGTGTTTTTTCAGCGAACACAGATGCTTATATATATAATAAAAATGTTATATGAGGTGAGAGTGAAAGGGGGTATATATAAATACTTATATATAAATATATATATTTACGTTTCCGTTCTCTGCAAAACATATATTAAATAATAAAAAAAAAACAAGTTGTCCAACGAGTTAAAAATTTATCTATTTTGGAGAAGGAAAAAAAAATAACGAAGATTCATACTGCCGATGTTGAAAGAGACTTCGTTTTGGATATGAGCTTATAACCTATGTTTCTATTTTGGAAACGTTACAGGTGGACACTGTGCTCATATCAAGGGAAGGAAAACGTGTGGAAACAGGTGTACAGTGGAATGCTACTCCAGTTTTCGCACCGAGTGGATTGTGCGGTATTATTCAATTGTATTACTAAATGATGATTGCCTCCTATATCGCCTCCTAACACCCCCCATAGTATCATAAATTGTCTGTTCCTTCTTCTTTGGGCATTTTATCAGTAATCATTACACATTTTGCAGAATTTTACGAGTTTATATTTTACACGAGAAAATATTTAATATATATGTAAATGAAAATTATTAAAAAAAAATAAAAAAAAATCAAGGTATATATTATGAAATGCGATGGACTGAATTAAGTAATCATATTTGATATCATTGCCATCTATTGCTGTTAGGAAATAAAATGTTGAAGATTTTTCATCGTTTTGCCGTTATCATTTCACTAAAATATTTATTAATAGAATGCTGTGGGTCTCTCACGAAAAAAACTCTTTTTGACCCAGACGAGTGATGTTTTATTTATAACTCGCAAATACGACTATCATTTTACTTTTGATGTATATGGTAAGAGGTGATGGAAAATAAGCAAGCGTCAATTAATCGTTTTTTGCTTCAGTAGTTGCTCTAGCCTTCAGAGTAGCTAGTCAAGTTATCCTCCTTGCTTTGTTCCAGGGAAGAGGAGGATTTATAGCCTTGATACATAAAGAGAAGTTTATGAGTTTTTGGACTGCACTCTTATGTTAAAAAAAAATGAATAAATTCTTTTTTTTTTTGAAGAAAAAGGGGAAAACATAAAAACTGTTTCATTAGTGCATATAAACAAATTAGCTGATTTTCTTTCAAGATACTTTAAACCAAAATATTATTTGTTCAAGAATAGAAGTTGGCGGAGAAAAAAAAACTAATAATAAAAATATAAGGAAATAATCTTCTAACTACAGCAAAGGTAGCTTCCTAGAATGATGATTTATAGACTAGGAGGAAAGAATTTTACGATTTTTACTTTTAGCGCCAATCTTCACTTGATTTAGAAAGAGAAAGCTTATTCATATTCTCACTCCACGTAGTCAAGAAAGATGTTCACCAACCAGGAAGAAATAATAATAAAAAAAATAATAATAAAATGGCAGAAATAAAATAATAATAAAAAGGAACTGTACTGTAGTTTTTCCATTATTTGTCGGGAAAAAAATACAACTGTAGTTTTCTTAGAGAGCCAAGGGAATAAATTACAGATGTGATATATGTGTTTGTGAGATTATATTTCCTGATGTGCTGGTGAGGTTTAATTTATCAATAAAGTGATACACGGACCACTGTATTGTCGGTTCTAATTCTCTTTATTATAAGTTAATCAAGCGATTCTGATTATTCTAATTCTCTAATAGATCTTGTCAATAGATTCTGATGATACAATATTTTATTCAACTTTTTATTTTTTAATATGCATGCTTGTTTATAAAGAATAATATAAGTAGTGTGAATTTATTTTTATTGTGATTTCAGTCCTATTTATTTTACCTAATTTCATAAGATTCCCACAGCTAAAATAAAAGAAATTTTCAATCTGACTTTAAAAGGATTTTTGAAGTTGAAATTGAAATAAAATCAGCACTAAAGCGCTTTTTAGACTTATTGTCTTGTGTTTCTCCTTGTAAATCAAACATTTATTTATTTTATTTAAAAAAAACTACTCATTGTTCAATATTTCATAAATATTCCGAGCTTTCTTGAAACATAAAGAGAAACAAAAATATGACAATTATTCATTCTTATCAAAAAACTATAATAATTATTAATCAATATTGACTGAAACGCCATTCAACTAAATTAAACGAACTCCCAACTGAGAAATCTCACCACTTTCTCACAAAATTATTCAATAATAAATGTAAAAACTTTCCAGTAATAAATAAAACATGTCGCAATAAGTAAATGTAGATAGTGAAATTTTTATGCAATTCAGAGATAAAACACAGGACTACTATTTTAATGACCAAAAAATTCTTAAAAAAAATTATTTACGAAATGCAAAACAATCCTTTAAAAATCATCAAAATGGCAGACCTTTAAAAGAAAAATAACACTCTTAAAAACTTTCGGAAACATGCTTTATATCAACTTTTTCATTAAAAAAATTATAAATAATAACCTGTATTTATAAACTTAGTAAAAGAAAAGATAATAATTAAATAAAAATACGTAATTTATAAATACGTAATTTATAAATAAAAGAAAAAAAATAAATACCTTAGAAAGAATTAAATACGAATTAATAACTTTTCAATTATGATTTGCAGGAACATCAGAATTGCACGGTTTTATAAAATTGTTTTTAATATTCTTCAATTGAATGATTGCCTATTGTTCAAACACAAATTTTTCATACTTTGAAGAACTCTTTTCAACATCAACACCTGTTTTTGGAGGAATTTTAGAATAACAAGATTCAGTGAAAATTTTTACTAACAGGGTGGCCACTCAAATCAGGTTTCAAATGTCCCTGCTTTTTCCAAGTTTTCCAGGCAAAAATCTTAAAATTTCCTGGTCAGCGTATTTTTTTTCTCTTAAAATATAGGACGGGTACAAGAAAAGTATCAATATTATAAAGTATTTTATTTAAAATGTTATTATTTTAATACATCTTCTTGAAAAATAGACTAAATTTATTTCAACAACTTAGCAAGATTTTGTTCTTTATTTTTTTAACTTTTACTGCTTTCATACAATATTAATTTTTAAAAATTAAAATAGATATGGAGAAAATAATATGTTTAGCTTGTAGAATATATTGTTTTTATTGAATAAAAAATGTTTTAATGTGTTACTTTAAGTAGTTTTTGCACAAAGTGTACCAACTGGTAAACACAGAGTGACTCAAAGAACCTTGGATAATCATTGTTTAACATATTTTCATTAAACAAAAGAAAATAATTGCTGGGAGTATACATCAATAAATTTATATATATATTTATTTTCATTTCAATATAGACCCATTTTACACTGTATTTCATCCAGACAATGCTCTTCATAAAATTCATTGGTCATATTTTCTTTAAACCAATATCTAAAGTCAAATGTTTAAATAATGTTGTTTGTTTTAAAATAACAATATTATTTAAGAGATATTCAGTATTTAAGAATGAATGTTGAAAAAGAAAAATTGTCGAATTTCTTGTTGCATACTCTATAGAAAAAACTAGATAAAATTCTTTAAATTGTATTCCTTTTTTTTCCTTATTTGAAATTAAAATATTCAAACAATTCCAATCTTTAAATTTAGATTGGTTAGATTGGATTTTTAATTTAGATTGGTTAATTGTTTTTGCAACTAGAAACCTGTACATGTACAGTGTAGAAAAAAGAAAGTTTCGTTTTCCTTCTTCCTAATAAACACATATGAATAAAATAAAATAAATTAAATCCTATGTTTAGACATCATTTAACATGTTTTCCATACATTCCTTAGTTTTTGCCAGCTTTTTAGGGTAGAGTTTCGGAAATATTATCTCTGAAATGCAGGCGACATTTACGAACTATCGACAAAATTATTATTACACAATTCGAATTTTTAATCAAAAATCAAACATAACAGTAAGATTAAATGTTAACATATAGTTATAGTTTTTTTAAATAAAAAAAATGCTATAAAATGCTGAAATTTAATTGAGTAAATTGAGTAATTGTGGACAAAAATTAGCGATTGTTAGAAGAAATTTAGCGATTGTAAGAAATTTAGCAAAAGTTAGTGATTGTAAGAAAATGTGTGATTGGTTGGCTTTACTGAGAAAAAATAATTTACCAATTTCATTGGATGAGAGTTCAAAAGCTTTCAGAAAGAGTGCAATATAAAATCTATTGCTGTTAATTTATAACCAAGTAATTTTTGAAGAATTTTATAAATTTAGAAATATTAAAACATTTTGTCAAAAGAGAAAAAAGTACCCCAAAGCTTCGGAATAAATTTGAACAATAAATGGATTCATCCCACGGACTAAAGTAAAAAATAAAGAAAATTTAAAAATCCTACTTTTATGGAGCAAATTTTGTTGCAAGCAAAGTATTCAAACCTGCGATTGCTAGAAAAAGAAATTATCTTAAATTTTTTAGCTCAATATGTAGTTTTTTGCTCTGTTTTTGGTACTTAATTTTTTGTTTCTTCTTGTAAAGCCATACATTTGAGGAGAAAAAAAAAACATTTTATTTAGTTTTTTTTCTCATCAATTTATAAAAGAATATAGACATTGAAACAAAAATTATATATTCCTCTTTTTTCGCACTTAGCTTTTTGTCATCACATCAAAAGAAAAAAAAATTAAAGAGCATGAAATAACTGAAAAAGATTGTTGATGTGTATTTACGATAAAATTATAAAATTGGAAAGCTTCAAAAAGAGATTAATCAAATGTATTTTTTGAGATTTATGTGTTGTAAAAAATAATATTGAATTAAAAATTACGAGGTTTTAAAAAATATTCGAAAATCAGTAGTGATATCTGCCGGAAAATTAATTGAAAAAAAAATAGAAATCAAATAGTGAGTGCGCGATGTGAATATTTCGTATCACAATAATATCGGAATTAAAAAAAAAATTATGTGAAAAACAACAGAAAAAAACTTTTAAAGAAAACGATTTAAACGCTGCATGATTTAGTGCAAATCAAGCGTGTCAATAAGTAATTGCTCAAATGCACGAATCGAATTTCTCGTTTCCTAATAATATCGTAAGAAAATATCGAGATTTAAAAAAACACGTAGATATCAGTAGCAAAAACTGTGAAAAAGTCGATCGAAGAAACAATAGTATAGTAACGTCAAAAAGTGACTAGAATGCATCAATTGAATTTTGCGTGTCGCAATAATAATGTATAAGAAATATTGGGGTTTAAAGAAAAAATAATATTAAAATTCGTAGCAATAATAGCCAATGTAACGATCGCAACACAGCATTGATTTACGGTGGTATCGATGCAAAGTATCGAGCACATCAAAAAGTGATTACTGAAATACGTGATTCGAAATTTCAATAGTGCAATATCATATTAAAAATTAATTCGATTTAAATGTAGCCAAATAAAAAAAGGGGTATTTATTACATATTATATTGATATTGTATATTACATTAATTAAAGAATTCTTCTGCTACAAATCGGAATTTAAGGCATAATTATTACCCATTAAAATGTAAGCTTTTTTAAAAAAATGGAAAAAACACCATTTTTTCTAGCGAACTATCATTCAAATGTTTGCCATTTCGGAATTACTTTTCAGATGATCAATTTAATACTTTTGTGCTTGCCTAAGTAGTTCACTAATTCTCATGGAATAACAAGTTATTATCGAAGTTTTATTTTTAATCTGCGTGATCTCGAAGTTTAACCGAATTTACGTTTTCCTCCAACAAACCAGAGAAAAAAAAATTTATGAAATCTTAGAGAAGACTAAAAAAAATGGTTTGGGAGGAATAAATATCTCGTTAACGAGTAGCTAAATTTCAAATTCAGTTAAGTGCAACTCCGAGAAAATTTCGTTACAACATAAATTGAATATAAATTAAATACAAATTAAATATAAAAATTCACGAACTTCCGAGAATTAACGATCTTAAGATTCGCGGAATTCTTCAAATTAGCGGACGATTATCAAATGCCATGTATTACTAAATTGATGATATTTCAACTGTTGGGTAATAAATTTCCGTCCATAAAAGTGGATATAACGAATGGTAAAATAATTTAAGAAAATTAGTAAATTTAAATTAGTAAAATTAAGGAAAAAAAATTCTAGCTTTTCTTTCTAATTCCCTGATTTTTTCAGGTTTTTATACAAATTTCCCTGACTTTTCCAGGTTTTTTCCAGTTTAAAAAATTCTCTGACAATTCCAGGTTTTTCAAGTGGGTGGCCACCCTTACTAGCTTATGTTTTAAAAAAATGCGTTAAAAATGAAAAAATCATTAAAATTCACAAATTATTATTAAGAAAGAGAAAATAATCGAAAAAGTGAAGAAAAAAACATGAATAAATGCCTCTAGAAAAGAAAAAACAATCAAATATGCAAAAAATTTATTCATCCTCAATTTCCCTGGTGATATATACAAAAAAATTATTATTTAGCACATTATCTAACTCTATTATCTTAACATCTTATTGTTAAATTTTTTGCATTAGTACTATTACGATTTTAACAATCAACATGTTCCGAAATCTGTTGTAACTAATAACCTAAATCCCAATTAACAATGGTATCACATTATTTGACGATGAAAATAGTAACTATTTCAACTGACTGCAAAAAAATTATACTGCACAATAGAGATCATT